ATTTCAAAGACATGTTTCGACTTTCATAAAGCCATCTTCACAATTTGAATGTGATTTTTACAATCAGTTAAGTTTATCATGGATAATAAAAGTTTATATAGTAGTAATAGATAATATGATTMAATTAAAACGGTCAAAAGTAAACTAAAACAAAAAAGTGCTGTGTTATTTTTAAAAATTAAAATAATTTGGGATTTCTTACATTGTACCACTGGGATGGCTGTGTTATAACCGATTCCTCCTCAAACAACAGGTAACCCACTGGSCTTAAAAGCATTATATCCAGATATCCATGCTTAAAGTGACCTACCGCACCGAAATTTACRGCCGTGCAGGAGACAATCCGAATTGAAGAATTTGTTGATGACTTGGCCCTAATAACAAARCAAAACAAGCATGGCTTCAGCCCGTAATGGAGAATTGCGCTATCTTGACAAAGTAACAATAGTTACTGGTGGGTCTAAAGGCATTGGCGAGGGAATTGTACGAGAATTCGGTGAGCGAAAGTCTCCATATAACAAAATAAAARCAGTCATTTTAGTCAACTCTKTTYGAGCTTCTTTTTTAAGCATATTTCTACGCTAAAATAAGACAATTTGTCAATAACGGAAAATGTTTTCCATTTAATCACATGATTATCACATGATCGCGTTCATTTGAGTTAGAGCGCGAACTCGTGTCGTAATAGATGCATGCCTAGAGTGTTAAGGGAAATTATGAATTCACATACGACAAGGCACATTTATGTAGGTATATATGCATAACGCAGATGAATATCAATAGATCTTYAATGCATTGTTTACCCTGGTGTCCTGGACAACTACCATTTTAAGGGAAAGTAAATTTATTATGTCGAGGGGAGGTATTAAGATGTTGAAGGGGGATGTTGAAGGGGGAAAGGGGCTCCAAAAAATGAAGCAGCGTTAGGGAGGCCTTGATATGAAATGAATACCAAAAAAGGGGGGAGCTCCTATTACATTCTCAAAAAAATTCTAAATTTTCTATAGGGAGCTTGAAAAATTTGTGACAAGCCAAACAGGGGCTCAGAAAATTAATGAGATATATTTATATGACATCTTCACACACAAAGGCACCCCTTGAAATAATGATAAATGTACTTTTATMAAATTTAACCTTTCTTTGGTTTCCTCTTTAGTGAAGGCTGGATCSAAAGTGGTCTTTTGTGCAAGAGGAGGTTTGTTCACCCTCTACTGCTATATTTACATAGAAACAATTCCAGATTTCTACATATAATGTGCCATAAACAAATCGATAAATCTTTTATTCAACATATAATATCAAGAATATATGAGAAAATACTCTTTTAAAAAATTAAAAGAATTAAGGTATAAGGGGACCTTYRYGACTGATCTCACTTAATTCTTCATAGCAAGTTAACTTATTCAAGCTATGACTATGAAAGTATATMTTTTCYTAAAGAGGAAAATGAGGGGRACAAGAATRATCAATTTGTTTTTGGATTTGTSCTATTTATTTTATTTTGAGTTTGTGTTTTAAAACTTTGCAGACTTGTCGATGTATATACCTCATGTCAAAAAATGTGTCTCATTTTTTCRACATCTTGTTATGTGTTGAAGTTATAGGAAATTTTGTATAAAAATTACGTTTTCAACTTTGAAAGTGGATATTTCCGCAACAAACGTGTTAAAATCCAAAAGTGTGATCAAAGTGTGCTCTAAATGAAGGCCGAACCAGTTTATTAGCACAAAGAAATCTGGTGTTCCAGGAACTTCTTAAAAATGTCTGTTCAAAAATCATAAAATATCCACTCAAAAAAAAAAATGATTCGTTTTATCAAAAACAAATCACTTAGTTACGTACAATCTCCATTTATTCAGCTTTTAGAAAATGTATATTTTTAATGGATATCTTTAATAGTTAGCGTTATACGAGAAGTTAAGCGAAGGTCCCCTGATACCTTAACATACTACAATATAGTGTACTATGCACAATAAAGCGAGGCTCCAAATAAGTTAAGTTGAGAAAAAAAATATAAATATAAGAAGATGAAAATTGGAATTCAATGATTAGTAATCAATCATTTGGAGATTCTGTAATCATTAACTGAAAATAAACACCAACAATTACTACACCATATTAAATTCATTCWGTAATTTTTTACCAGATGTAGCAGGCAAAAAGCTAGAGTGTGAAGTCAATGCTATGGGGCCTGGAGAAAGTATGTTTTTACAATGTGATGTCACTAAACAAAATCAGTTAAAGGTTAGTTAGTCAGAAACTTGGGTGCTTATTGTTTATTATCAAGGAGGGTGACTGCTTGGTCGTCAGATGTTATGCTGATTTGCATGTACTTTATTTCAGAATTTGGTTGATAAAACAATAGAAAAGTATGGTCAGTTGGATTGCTTGATAAATAATGCCGGATGGCGTGAGTATCTGTGGATGAAATGATATTTCCATTTTCCTTTTTGAAAATACATAATCACTATTACTGAAAATCCTTTTGTAAGGTGGATCCATGCAGCCATGTATAATTATTTTGTTAGTAAGATTTACTTTGACCACACATCCAATTTTCATTTTGCAAACTAGACGACTTTTTCTTATCCAATTACAATTGGGTTTTASACCAGATATCATAGCCTGAATATCAGACGTCTCCTCTGGRTCATGTCAAATTTTTMATTTTAATTGGCATTTTTCATGTTACTTACCGCTAGCTTTTGAAATGGATCCATCTTAAGGTAATATAAAGGCAAATCGAATTATTCTTATTCAGATCACTTGGCAAGCTAGTTTTTGGGGAACTATSTGAATGTATTCTGCCTTTTAGATCCTCCAGAAAAAAATATCGATGACACAAGTATCCAGGACTTTAAGAACTTACTAGATTTAAATCTAGTCAATTATTTCACATTGTGTAAGGTTAGTTCACACGTACATCAATCAGATATAGTACTAGCAAGTTGATGACAATAAATAYTTAAGGGTAAAGGAAAATAAAGCCTCTTGCAGTCCATTTACAAGGCTTGTTCCCAGGTCACTAAATAAAAAAAAGATGGAAAATTACGATGCCTGCAGAGGAATCTAACACAAAAGGATAAAAGGATTGAAAAAACTCATACATAATTTAATGGCTTATTAGGCCATGTAAATGAGCCTATTTGGTCACATGCATGGACCTTCATATCTGATAAAACACTCCTTATTAGTATTCTTTATATATTTAGAATACTAATAAGGGTGACCTTTATCAGATATAAAGGCCCATGAACCTAGCAAAGGTCTCAGGTTTGATACCTAATCATTGACCAATGCAGGATGTCAACCGATTGCAGAAACAGCCATCAGCACTTCAATTTTATTTTATGCGTATTCAATTTAGGATGACAAGTTAGAGTGCTTTGTAAAGTGATTCGTGCATGATCAGTTTGCCCCATTTATCTCAAAACTTATTTTTACGGCAATTTCTCCAAGAATTTTAACAGTTTTGAGTTTCAAATTAGTGTTGGAGTTTTTAAGTGTTTTATCAGGTATAAAGATCGTGTTTTATCAGGTATAAAGACTCTCGCTTTCGTCTCGGATCTTTATACCTGATAAAACATTCTCTCTCTCGTGTTTTTTTTGCATATATTAAACATGTAATGAGGGAAATTATAAGGAAAAAAGGGATTAGAATCAAAAAAGAAAACAATAGCAACATTAGAAGCAAAGATGAAGAGAAGCTCTGCAAGAGAAGAATAAAGATAAAGGGATTTACAATTAAAAATTACTGAAATTTTGCAATAGAAGTTTTTGTTTATGCTAGTATGCAACAATTAATTCAAGCTTTTAGGCAAACCTTGTTTTTCTATTAAATATTTTTGCTTTCATGTGCAGCTTTCATTACCTCATCTTCGGAAGACAAAGGGAAACATTATCAATGTATCCAGTCTTGTTGCCCAGATAGGACAGGCTAATGCAGTTGCATATGTCACAACAAAGGTATATAGTCTGCAATTAATAGGCAATTCCACGAGCCCAATTCTTGTAAACATATTCGCAAACTTTTGTTTCTAATTAAGCTACTCCAAAGAAGGGGTATAGAATTAGAATGGTGTCTCAGAAATGGYGGATTTTACCATTCAATACCCCTCATTATAGAACCATTAATAATTCAGGGGGGGATGCTCCCCTGAAACTTGGGTGGGGGTGTGCCGCTGGGACCTCAAAACCCTGACCCTGTTCCAGAGTGAAATTGAATTTTTACCACATGAGTTGCTATCCAGCATCAATAATTCCAAAATTCAACCCTGACCCTTTTCCAGAGAAGAGAAAATTCGTTGAAATCGATACCCTGTTCCAGAGTAAAATCGTTACAAACGATACCCTGGTTGGCGGCACGTCCCAGTATAGAGAATATTGGGGAGTACACCCCCCCCCCCCGGGATTGACATACAGTGCACTGCATTAAAGTGTGGCTACTGATGGTATACAATGTATTCCCTTACTCAGCTGTCATGGCATGAATCGTGCAACAGTGGTGGTTAATAAGCAAGACAAAAGTATGCAAATACATTAACAGTGGTCACACTTTTATGTGTTGCACTGTAATTAAACTTTGCATCATTATTTGACTGCACCATATGATTTTCTCTATCTTTTATTTTCAATGATGGCAATATTTTCATGCAAGCAAGCACATGCAATAGATATAACACTATGTTTTTTAGGGTGCAATCTCTTCAATGACAAGAGCCCTGGCAGTTGATGAAGCCAAATATGGTGTTCGTGTTAATACGTGAGTAACGATCACTTATGGTTATCCCTGCTTCTCCAGATATCATTTTGATAATTCAATTATTTGCATTTGTTGAGCAAAAGGTACAGATAAGTAGTGTTTGAGTACTAGTACATATTATATAATACAAATGTAGCCACTAGGGCTGCTGTGATGTTATGATAAATAGACATGCACCTATTTMAAAAAATGTAATGTTGTCATCGCCAAGACACGGTCCACAGTCTTGAGACTGTAAGGAATCTTGGGATTGGATTACCGTTATTTAATTATATATTCAATTTCAGTTATTCAAAATTCATTGGTCTTGTGCCGAATATAACTTTKAAATTCATTGATGACTTGAAAACATTGACMTTTTTTAAGGAAAATGACTCATGGCGAGACTTGTTCGATGTGTTTAATACCCACAATATATATATCTAGAAGTGTTTGTCTCCATTGAATTCAAACCACAATCAGGCAAATATATTTTGAATATATTATTATAATTACCCGTGGAAACCCTGAGATTCTTTGCTGGTTCAATACTGTGGACTGTGTCCTGGCGACGACAACATTTTTTGAAATAGGTGTAATTATCTTTTGAATCCAAGCTTTCTCCGTACTACAGGTTTTAGAATCTATCAATTCTGTAACAATTTTGATTATAGTAGCCTGGATGGTATTTCTACTATTGTACTCACGATATTCCATATTCAGGTTCAGTGACTAAAGAACAAAGCATTGAACTGAGGTGTCAAGGTACAGTGAACATAAAAGAAAAGATCTGTGCTCATTGTTCCTTAATTTGACACCTCCRTTCAATGGTTTGTTCATGGTCACAGTGACCCTGGGTATTGAAAGTCGTGAATATAGCAAAGGATAGTTAACACCCAAAAGCAATGCACTGCAGAGAGAACCAATCATAATATTGCAATTACACACCAGTATGGAATAACTGTGTAATATATCATGAGTTTACTCACACCCAGCTGTTGAATTGCCTAATTAAGTCTATTTATATTAATCGATAATTTAGTAGTAATTTTTCTTTTTTTCTTTTAATCATTCATTCATGTATTCCACTTAGTCTGTCACCAGGGAATGTCTGGACACCGCTTTGGGATGAACTGGCCAAACAAACTTCCAATTTTGAGAAAAGCAAGCTTGATGGTGAAGAAGCTCAGGTGAATGATGTTGACTTCTTGTTTCTGTCTAACCATTAATTATCAACCACTGATTATTGTTAAGCCTTAGAGCAAAGGGCAATTCATGTAGATAAGTTAATGTCCTAAAGATATTCACGTAAAAGTCCTCAATGTGGTTTTGTGTTTCAGCTACTTGGTAGAATGGGTACATTGGAGGAATCGGGGAAATCGTGTTTGTATCTTGCTGCTGATGCAACATTTACAACTGGAATTGATCTTTTCCTGTCAGGTGGTGCTGAACTCAATTATGGGAGAAAAACTAGACTTGATCAATAATTGAATATTTTATGGCTCTCTAAATACATGTAATAAATTATGCAAATTTTAATTTCATGAATAAAGTAGATTATTGAATAGCTATGCATCCACCTCCCATAAATAACGAACTATTCGTTATTTATGGGAGGTGGATGCATGGGTGATTGGGGGTCTTTAAACTCAAGGGGGGACTTGAAGAAAAGTAATCAAATAAAATACATATTTTTGAGACAAATTTCAAGAATTTCACAATTTTTATAATGTACTTTGATCAAAAACAACTACAGAAGTAAACATCAAAAAGTGATTTCAGATGTCATATACAACTTTTCAATAGTCATCATCGATAATATTAATCATCTTGTATATACTATCATCTTCATYATCAGTGTCATTGTCATGCTAAGGCTTTCGTCACCATTTTATTTGAAGTGATGAGAAATTTCATTTTAACTTTTTTCTTTTCAGTTTTCTTTGGAAGTAGTCTCCAGCTTGTGCACCATTTGTTTTTTGTCATCATCATCATCATCAGCCACATCATGTGAAGGAATCAATTCCTTTCTTAATTTAAGACACACTGCATAGAGTCATCATATAAATGATTGTATCTGGAATGCAGAGCTGGTGGGCAAGGGGATTGTAGTGAAAAAGTAAGCTCTACTATACAACTTGTGAGAATTAAGGGCTGGGGGTACTTGATTCCCCCAGGGTGAAATTGGACATTCAACAAAAAGTTTATTTTGACCTCTATACAATCTCTTACCA